TTGTGATCCAATACCATGGGAGAACACTGGACTGGGATGGTGGCACCTTCTCTCTTATAGAGATGGGAGATTTCCACATCATTGTGCCATCAAGATATGGAATTCTTTATAGAATCATAGAATCATACAGTTGGAAGAGACCACAAGGGCCATCCAGTCCAACCCCCTGCCATGCAGGAACTCAGAATCAAAGCATCCCCGACAGATGGTCATCCAGCCTCTGTTTAAAGACCTCCAAGGAAGGAGACTCCATCACACTCCGAGGAAGTGTATTCCACTCTCAAACAGCTCTCACTGTCAGGAAGTTCCTCCTAATATTTAGGTGGAATCTCTTTTCCTGAAGTTTGCATCCATTGTTCCGGGTCCTGTTCTCTAGGGCAACAGAAAATAAGCTAGCGCCCTCCTCAATATGACATCCCTTCAAATATTTAAACAGGGCTATCATATCTTAACTGTCTCTTAACTGTCTCTTCTCTAGGCTAAACATACCCAGTTCCCCAAGTCGTTCCTCGTAGGGCATGGTTTCCAGACCCTTCACCATTTTAGTCACCCTCCTCTGGACACGCTCCAGTTTTTCAACGTCCTTTTTAATTGTGGTGCCCAGAACTGAACACAGTATTTCAGGTGGGACCTGACCAAAGCAGAATACATTGGCACTATTACTTTCCTTGATCTAGATATTATATTTCTGTTAATGCAGCCTAAAATTGCATTGGCCTTTTTAGCTGTGGCATCACACTGTTGATTCATGTTCAACTTGTGGTCCATTAGGACTCATAGATTTTATTTTCTTACTGTCCAGCTATAACCCTGCTTTTGTGTTTTCTTCTATGACTTTCCTCAATAGTCGTTCCATATCTTCACTATTTTCTCATGTTTGCATTGCCATAATTTAATATTTTTGTACTGCTTCCTGATAAAATTACAGTCAGTCAAAATAGTGACAACATTAATACCAATATGTCCAAAGCTTGGAAATGTAATCACTACACCATGCTGGGTCTACACCTCTGGGCATATTGGTAGGCCACTTTCCTAACCTTTGAGAAATATCACACTGTAGGTAGGGAAACTACATTTGAATGGTAGGGGCAGGGAAACTACATCTGAATTGTAACTCAGCATTCAAAACCATGGGCTATGTTGTCAAGGGCTGCTGGCTTCAGGGTAACCACATTTGGAGCACCCCATGATTCCTATCACTGCCATATCCTATCACTGTCTATCACTGCCATAGAACCCATAGAAGTACTTGTGCTTCACACTGATGGGGTGATAAATGTTAATTGAAGCAGCATCGGGAGGAAGAGGTGAATATACTATGCAAGTTAGAAATGGTGGTTGGCCCCACTCAAGACACCATCATGGGCAGACAACATATGAATGAGTGGCTATGTCAGAAATATATTGTAAACAGTAGAGTGCTGCCACATACATTCCTGCATGACCTTGTGGAGAAGAAGAAAGAAAGTGAGATGGGTTCTGGAGAAATCCCTGATGCTTTCTTGCATTGAAAGCAGCTGCTTTTATTGAAATAGCTTTGTTGGGTAGCTTGTGTTCCCAAGGTCACTTTGCACATAGTATTTTCAATAAACCGGCAATTGAAACACAAGGAGGCCAAAATCTCATAAGAGAAACCTCTGGAAGTCTCTAGCATGGGGATCATTAAAGGAGGAAGAAGCAATTGGAATTGGGTGGGGGGACAGCAGGGGTGGATGGAGGAAAGGAAACTTATTCTCTTTCTACTGAAATATTCTTCTGAGCTTAAGCTTGCTAGTGAGCCAGCAAATGGTGCAGTGAGAACTGTCTGAAGTTGATTTGAGACCCTCCCTATAGTTCCAGTGCTGCTGGGCATAAGATGCCAAAACAGAGGAAGGGAGGAATGGAAGAAGGATCTTGCAGTGGGAAAATTAACAGCCAAATTGACTAGGAAACTTTTGGTTTCCTCTGTCAGTAAAAGATCTTACTTTTCAACTTGGCACCTGTGTGCATGTGTTTTACAGGTTAGAGGTGTATAATTATGGTGGGCAGATGCAACCCTCCAGATGTTGCTAGCATTCCTTATCATTGGCTACACTGGCTAGGTCTGCTAGGATTTGCAGTCTGCTAGGAACAGCACTCTGAAGCCCTGATATTGCCTACCCTAGTGTATAGATAGCAAGGATGGGAAGAACATAGATCTGCACTTAGCACCAGGACAGCGTACTAAGCAGCAGATATATAGGTCAACTAGACCAGCTGATCTCAACCTTCACCCCTTCACATCTTTGAGATTTTGATGGCCTGAATTCATAACTGTTTACTTAGAATGGGACTTCTAAGAGTTGAAGCCCAAAACATTTGGAAGACCAAAACCCGAGAATTGTTGATGCTAGATTAGCATATACCTGGTTTTCCTTGCTAGGATGAGATGCATTTCTATTAAAATTACAGAACTTATGTTTGAACACACTCTCTCTCTCTATATATATATATTAGCATATTAAAATATATGTAAATCTTTTCCAATTATGCTATTCCTTTTTTCTGACGGTTTATAAATAGTCACCTTAGCAATGATACTTTGTTGTTTGCCCCAAGAATGCAATTTTCTAATAATGGAAGTTCTGGTGTGAAGTCGTAGGCTTTCATGGCTGGCATCCATAGTTTTTTTTTGTGGGTTTTTTCGGGCTGTATGGCCATGTTCAAGAAGAGTTTCTTTTTGACGTTTCGCCAGCATCTGTGGCTGGCATCTTCAGCTGGCACCCTTTTCTCTGAAGATGCCAGCCACAGATGCTGGCGAAACGTCAGAAAGAAACTCTTCTAGAACATGGCCACACAGCCCGAAAAAACCCACAAAAAAAACAATGGAAGTTCTATTTGACTGATTTTCTGGCTGTGGAAGGTCAGAGTTGCAGTTAGGCATATTTAGAAGGCACTGACTAGACTGGAGAAGGATGGCTTATAATATCCATTGCTTGTTCTCTCTTCCATTCATTCCATGTATCTAGTACCTATCGTAAGAAAGAAATCTTATTGTGGCATGGCCTCTCTCCTGCTCCTCATGTTCACTGTTTGAGAAAGTACTCTTTTGTTCTCTGAAGCAAATTGCTGCCGTTTGACCTTTGTTGATAGTCCCCAGAGTCTCTTCATTTACTGGTGGTTAAACATTAAAATCCTGTAATCAGGGAATTCCACAGATCTCTCAGTGAGTAGAATAAATCAGGAAGCTTTCATTAGTTTCATGCTGGTTGCATTTTAGACTTAGGGCCTTTGCAGACTGTCAGAAATAGTGCAAATTGAGTCCACTTTAACTGCCCTGGCTCAGTGCTAGGGAATCATGGGAATTGTATTTTTTTCTGAGACATTGAGCCTTCTTCTCTGGTGCCACAATAAACTACAGCAAATGGACTCAATTTGCACTATTTCTGACAGTCTGCAAAGACCCTTAATTTATAAAGCACAAACTCTGTTTGGCATCAACAAACAGTAGAAAGAGCTTCTTCAGCCTCGTGGATTGCTCATGCTATCTTGATGATTTCACAGAATATAGAAAAACAAAGTATTATGGAAGGAGAAACAGGAATGGGACTTGTGGAATGAAGTTGGTATGCTTGCATTAGTTATTCAGTGGTTTTGCTGATTATCATCTACATTAGATTTTGGGTGTATGTATTTACTCTCATAGGGAATTATCATAAATTTTAATCAGTTTTTATTCTGTCAGTGTGAGTAGCCTGATGATTCATATGGTGGTGATGAAATGCCTTGTGCTATAGCATGAGAGGAAGGCAAAGGCAACCCCCCTCTGAACAAATCTGGCCAAGAAATCCAGTGACAGGTTTGCCTTGGGTTACCATAAGTATGAAAAATTTTGAAGGAACTCAGCAACAACAAAAACCATTTTACTACAGTAAATATGTTATTGCTAATTACCGTATTTTTCGGCATATAAGACGCTCCGGCATATAAGACAC